TCTGCTTGGCCGTTGAGGCCGCTGTCCGAACATCCACATGGCACGTCCAAAAGCGGCGGCGGGCGGGGCCGAAGGCGCATAGATACACGCGCCGCACCACGTCGGGGACGGAGTGGGCAAGAGTCGCAGCTTTGTGGCCCACGAAGGCCTTCCGGCGCGCAGCTCCAGCCTGGCGAGGGAGGACGGTCCAGAGCTGCAGGCCGGCAGCGCTTTGTGCGTGAAGCGCGGCAACCTTGCGGACCGGCCTGCCCCGCTTTCCGGCGGCCCACACGGTGGTCCCCAGACGTTGGGACACCACGCGGCGGGGCCCGCTCCCGGCGAGCACCGCTGCGGGTGTCTTCCAGTGCCGCCCGTGGTCGGGGCACCGCGAGGAAGGTTGCCGAATGCGCAAAGCATTCTTTGCCCTGAAGCTCCTCCAGCCCAGAGAAGCCGCGAGCACGCCCTCCAAATCCTCGGCGGACGCTGCAAACAGCTCGGACACCACGCCGCCACCATTCCCCAACCCCGACACCGCATTCAAGAAGCATCTGCTGTTAGCGGCAATCTTTCGCAACTCCCAGGCCGCCTTGGGTGCGCCCAGCTTGCCAAGCCTTGCCTTCTCTAGGTTCCACAGGTTGAAGCTGTCGCCAAGCAGCTCGGACGGGTGCCCGGTGTGTTTGTGGAGAACCACATTGAGTTTTGCGGCCATTCCTTTGCTCGCAGAAATGACATCAACGTTGTCGTAGATGATGCGCAAGGAGACCGGGGAGTGCAAAAACTCAAGTAGCAGCGCCGTGCTGTCTCGTGCGTGAGGTGGGCATAGGTTCAGTATATGTGCTTGTGCCCGCCCCGTTTTGTCTGCGCGCTCCAAGCATACCTTCTCGCGCTCGATGTTTTTCACGTGCACTGGGATGTTGCTGCTTGTGCCGGCGTGGTTGTAGGCGGCCCAGTCGTTGGTCGCTCGATGGCACGGACAATGGGTAAGTCGAGTTGCAAGCGCTCCGCAGTCTGTGACCGGAGTTGCGGGTCGACCACAATGTATTGCACGGCGTTGGCTCCTTCTGGCGTCCATGTTTTCCGATACATCGTGCCATGAACTCGCATGAACGAAGGTTCGTTGGGCGTAAAAGTGGTCTCCCACTCTGTTGTGCTGGACTGAATGTCGTGCACGGCCAGCCCGAAGAGGTTGTTGTATGCTCGGGAGTGGGCGCTGAATCCGTCTCGACGGTATGTCTGCAAAAGTGCTGGCCCAGGCGCTGCGAAGTATCTTGTGAAATCGATTGCGTGCTTTCCAAACTGACAGCAGAAACCCGCAGATTCGTCGGGAAAGCGGGTTACGCCACAGTGGGCACAAATGGAATCCCGAAGGCCCAAGGAGATGGATTGGGGGCTTGCAAGCGTGGGACACACCCTTGTGGGTGTGACGCAGGAGGAACACACCCGCGTGCGGCTGGGTTTTTTGCGTTGGCTGGCGGTGTAGAGAGTCTTGTCCTGGAGTTCCCCGCAGCGCGAACAGGAGAGGAGCTCTTGCTGTGGACGACCGCCGCGACCCGTCGCTGAGGGGGCACAGGTAGAGCAGACACAGGCGTACGCGGGCGCCTCTAGCATGTTCTCGCTGAAGTGAGTGCGCTCTCGAAGTTCCCCGCAACGAGCGCAGTGCAAGGTCCTTTGTTTGGGACTTGCTTTGGGGTGCGTTTCCCGATGACGGGCGCAGGATGTGCAGGCCCTGTTGGATTGGGGCAGTTGTGTTTGAGAAAATGCACTTGATGGAAGGCAGTTACCGCAATCGAAGCAGGTGAATACCGACATGGACGAAGTGTCGTGCGAGGGTCGGTACGGGGACACATTGGAGCCAAAGGCTACGGAGGGAAGTGCGCAGACGGACGCAAGTAAAGACCATTCGGGGCGTCACGGGAGGAGCCGCGGTGTGCAAGACGCATGTAGAACGCCGAATTCGTCATTAGGCTGGTTTGGAGACGCACGTTTCTGGAGGGGGCGCCGCGAAACTGGGATTCGGACACATTTGACGCACGCTCCTGGAGGAGACGTCGCGAAACTGGGATTCGGACACATTTGGTGGAAATGGTGGACGAAAACGACCATGCGGAGTCGGTGGTGAAAGGGGCTCGTAAAAGCCAGCAGGCCTCTTGGAAGCTGTTGAGGTACTTGTGGGGGTCTTTGTTCGGCCTCTTGGGGAAGCTTGGGCCTGTTGGGGGCCTCTGTAGGAGTCCTTGGGGCCTTTCGGCGGCAGTTTTGGAGTTTCCTTTGGCCGTTTGAGCGTCTCTGGGCTCGAGCTGAGGCCCTCTCAGGCCGTCGTCGGGGCCTTTTGGACCTGGTTGGAATGGTTAGGGGGGCGTCTTGGCCCGTGTTGGAATACCGAAAAGCGCCAAACCCGTAAATCTTAGGAATGCACGTTTCCTCTCAGGAGTTCGACGATTGTGGCTTCTTGAGGCTCTCTTCGGAAGCTTTTTGGGGGAGCTCGTAAAAGCCAGCAGGCCTTTTGGAAGCTATTGTGGTAATTTTGGGAGCCTGGTTTGAGCCTCTTGGGGGGGCTGGAGCCTGTTGGGGGCCCTGTCCGAGTCCTTGGGGCCTTTCGGCGACAGTTTTGGAGTTTCTTTTGGCTGTCTTGGGCGTCTCTTGCGTCGATTTGGGGCCCTCTTGGACCGTCGTCGGGGCCTTTCCGGGCCCGGTTGGAACAGTTACGGGGCGTTTTGGTCCGTGTTTGAATCCGGGAAGGCGCAAAACCCGTACATGTTAGAAATGTGTGTTTCTCCATCGGAATTCGACGGTTTTGGCCTCTTGGGGCTCCCTTCGGAAGCCTCTGGTGGGTTCCTCGGGCCGCTTTGCTGCGAACCCGGGCTCCCTCAACGACCGGGTCACGATGTGGATTGCTTT